GCGTGTGTTTATAAAAGTACTTAAGTTTAAAGTGACTGGGGAAATTAAGTGTATTACAAAGTTTGTAACGAGAAAAAATAAACTAGTTTAAATTAAGAAAGGACTTGTATCCCTGAAGTTTTTCGGAAAGAATTTTTTAACGGGAAATTAACAAATGAGCAGATAAGAAACAATGAAACTACAGTAAAGAACAGGAAGTGTTTATGATGCATCATTCACAATAAATCCGATGTGGACCAGTACAAACAACATTTTAGTGCCATCTAGCGAACATTGATTGTAATACATGATAACATTTTAATAAATCCAAACAAATAATTAAAAATACGGCTAGAATTAAAACTGCCAAATATTTTTGAAACATGAATGGTTTCCGAATTATCTCGAGAAAATTATGAACGAGGTTTAATTCAGTGCCATGATAGTCAGCGTCTCACACTTACTATTCATTTTTTAGACAGTTTTTAATTTTGTCTAGACGTAGATTTGACGTCATGTGAAGCAGTAACTTTAACATTTGAAATTTTCTTGAAAGTTTAGGAAACAATTTGAACGGTATAAAATGAGAGTTAGGCACAAGAACTTTCACACCAAAACAAAATATAGTTTTTCTTAGTTACATTTTTCTAAATCTCTTTTCCTTTCTAGGTTTCATTTGAGAATAAGTGTACGAAAAATTACATTTAAGTAAAGTATTAATTTTACAATTTGCAAAACTAGCACGCAAGAAAAGCCAATTTAATTAATTTTACAGACTGCCAGGATAATTTTTAGTTTCGCTCTATGTGCCTGTCCCCCAGTGGCACAAGCGGCATGTCTGCGGACTTACAACGCTAGAAACCTGGTTTCGATACCCGTGGTGGGCAGAGCACAGATAGTCTATTGTGTAGCTTTGTGCTTAATTCCAAACAAACAAACAAATCTATGCGCATAGTTTACTCTGATCAGAAGATATTATCATTATTTTATGAGTCCCCCGGTGGGACAGCGGTAAGTATAGGAATTTATAATGCTAAAATAAGTGGTTCGATTCCACACTGTGGACACACCAGATAGCCCGATGTGGCTTTGTTATAAAAAAACACACACGTTATTCTATGCAGAACACAACTGAATTGCATCTAATGACTTGCGGTCTATACATTTCCTACTTTACTGTACTACCTACAATTTTTAGAATTACGGGAAGTATGAAGTGACAAAAATATATATAAAAGAAAATTAAATAATAAAGGGAAACAAAGATATTTTATTTCAGAATTTTCGTAAGATACTCAAAGAGCTATATTCTCACAGTCATCTTAATTTTGAACCGATAGACTAGAGGGAAGGCAACTAGTCGACAACACCCACCGCCAATTCATGGGATACTCTAGTCTGACTGAATAGTTGGATTTGACTACCATGCACTCTTTCAGCACATCCACGACACCAAAGTGTAAAGCGCGCTTTTGCGGTAACGGGCTGTGGACCATGAGCCTTCGAATTTACAATCTCGGCACGATAAAGCATTAGATCAAGACTCTCACTACAGACAGCAAAATATATTTGTAGAAGATTAGAGCAGAAAGCGTTAGACCTAAGATATTAATTAAATAAAATAACTGGATAACAAAAGAAAATTATGAGCTAAAGAAAAGATGTCTGCATACTCCGATTTCATGGGAATATAATGTTTTCCAACGGCTCAGAAAATGAAAAGTATTTCTTTTCTTTTTAAACTATATACACAATCTCGTTGGGACCAAGAAATATATGTCCTACAATTAAAAAAGAATGAAAAAAAAACTTTTCCTTTCAAAAGTCAAAGTGTTGCTAAAGCGAAGGAAACAAATTGAACATTAAATTTGCAGGTAAATTTATACGTAAAAGCATTTATACGTGAAAATAGATAAAAACGACTTACTCTCAAGAATAGCCACATACATGACACGATTTGAATCGACGTCGTTTAGTCATTCCATTTTAGCAAGTAGTTTTGTGCGAAATTCAAACAAAACAAATTTTTTAGCAAGATGTTAGAATATATTGCCAAAGGTCATTTAAAAAAGCGCCTTGAAATTTCAGTTTTTAAAATGACGTTGATTATGGTGTTAAAAGTGATTATTCTTGCCTAATAAATTTATTGGATTGTTTACAGGTCTTGTCCTATTTTTTTATATGCAAGCACCCGAGAGAATTTGTGTACCATGATTTTCAGAAAGTCTTTAGTTGGATACTACACAAAAATTTAATTAGCAAACTAGATTTCTATGAAACGTTTAAGACGTGGATGATGAAAAGAAGGTAATAAATGAAGTTATTAATGATCAGAAGAATGTTTCTAGTAGTCATTTTGGGATCTTTGTTTTTAGTTATTTATGCCAACGATTTGAATATCTTCTTGTTTGTTTGTAGTTACGCACGTTATTATGATCGTTATTATAAGAAGATAATAAAAATGTCATAAATTTTAGCTGATTCCATCATATGTTTAAATTTAGAATATGATTTATACATAAATTTTTACATACTTAAAATAAAAACATAGCGAAATAGGCAATATATTTGAATTAGTTCCACTTATTACTGCTGGGATTTCCTATGTGTTTCAGAAAATAATAGTGTTCCTCAGTTTTGGTTAGTTCTCTATGCTGAGTGTTATGACACGCTAAAGCATAAAATCACTCAGTAATATGTATTACATAACCTCATCGTAAGGGAACAATAAGTAAACAAGTCGGTAATTTGAAGGTTAAGGTGATATATTCATTGTTGAGGAACCCAAATCCTTATGTGAAGATAAAATACATTTGGCTTGACAATAACGTAATATTGTGGTTTGATCAAAACAATCCTTAAAATTAGATGCATTTTCAATTTTACAAGAACGATTGTTTGTTTTGAATTTCGCGCAAAGCTACACGAGGGCTATCTGCGCTAGCCGTCCCTAATTTAGCAGTGTAAGACTAGAGGGAAGGCAGCTAGTCATCACCATCCACCGCCAACTCTTGACCAACTCTTTTACCAACGAATAGTGGGATTGACCGTCACATTATAACGCCCCCACGGCTGAAAGGGCGAGCATGTTTGGTGGGACGGGGATTCGAACCCGTGACCCACAGATTGCGAGTCGAGCGCCTTATCCACCTGGCCATGCCGGACACCTTATAAAGTAGAAAGTATTGTTGAATAGAGTTATGGTTAGTTTGTGTTTTGTTAAAGCGGTTGGATGTTTCGATGGATAGAAGAGTGATTTCTAAGTCGAGTGGTCTTATTTCACATTGATTATATGTTCTTAGATTTTTGTCTATACTTCAATGAAGTATCTGAAGTATAACTTTG